ACTAAGAAATTTCACTGGTTAGGAAGCTGGGGCTCTGCGCATTTAAGTGACTTGTTCAGATGAAGCTATAAGTCAATAGTCACGTCTGTCAGATTCCAGTGCAAGCTCTATCATATCAAGCTGTCTCTCAGTGTTAATAATATTTTATTTTTGTTACTTTATAGTCTATTAAGCACTTCCACATCCTTCATTCTATTTAAACCTGACAATGCTTACACAAATATTATTTACATATTTTAGATATACTGAATCGAAGAAAGCTACTATTACTAGTAATATTAATTATAATGATCATAAAATTAATGATAACTACCTCCTACTGTTGGTGAACTGACTTGCTCAGGGCAGCAGAGCTCAGACAGGGCCGATTTGGGCCTCAGACTCAAGTTTCTGATGCTACGTCCAGAGTTTGTTCCACCCTCAAGAGACGGGTCTCTCCAACATGACCATAGCATGCTTAGCCTAGCTGTGGCAGAGGAGAGAGGTTTACAGCATCAGCTTGGCATTCAGTTGGTGTGGCTTTTAAAGTGACTCAACATCTGTCATTGATTAGACTTCCTGTTGCCATGGTGATGGCTTATTATTGTTAGGCTGACAAGATGGCCAGGTCAAGAACACTATCTTCCTCCTTTTCCTTCCCACTCTCTAGCAAAGTTTCTTTTCTCTCTTTTGTCCTCTCACCTAACACAGTGAACCTGTTGCCACATGATATGATGCGGTGTTTCCCAAACCTGTGGTGATAATCTTTGGAATTCATGAGAATTTCTTTTCCTTTTTCTCAGCAGAGGCTCTGTCAGACCAAGTTTGGTTCAGTTTCATCTTTGAAAGTTGTCAACTTTCGGTTGTCAACAAATTATGTAATTATCTTCCCTGGGCCTTATTTTTTCATCTGGACTAAGTGATAAGAAGGCTTTACCACCAGGGTCATTTTGAGAATTTGATATGATAAATATGAAGATGTTAGCATAGAGCTTAGAATATAGTGGATACTTAAGAAATGATAGCAGTTGTGATAATTAAAATAATAGCAATGATTATTATTTACAAAGAGATGAGATGAGACAGAGATTAAGGGCTGGGAGTTGGGGTCATTTACTTTCATTCATGCATCAATCATTCTATTAATAATTTGTTCTTCCATTGAACCTATCCCTTTCCTTTATAGCACTTACTCTAAGATATAATATATATTTATTTATACTTATTATTTTTTTAACTATCTCTTTCATTCAACTGTAGACTTGATAAGGATTAGGGCCATGATTATTTTGCTTACCATTGTACCGAGGGGGTATTTGTTGAATGAATGAACAAATATTTATCAAGTGGCTACTCTATGTCAGGTTCTGTGCTAAGCACTGGAGATACAGAAATAGCTTAAAGCAAGACTCTTAGTCTTGAGACATTTACATAATAGGTCTGTGAAAATGACAAAAAATAAAGGAAAAGGGGCATTCTTTCCTGAATCCAAAAGCGTTTTTTACAAATGCAATGACATAAATGGAATTAAATCATCGGTAATCTTCTAGCACAAAGGACTGATGTGGGGGTGGTATGGATTTCTCAAAGCTCTAAGTACCAAAAAGGATTCAAACGGTGGTGTTAAGTCCCCCAAAGTAATCAGAAATTCCCTTTGAAACATACAGTTAAAAAAAAAAAAAAGAAAAAGAAAAGGAAAGCCTTTCTGGGGGCCAGCTCATTGACTCCTCCCAGAACAGTCTGATCCCCTCTGCTAGAGAAACAAGAGGTCAGATCCCCAGATGGAAAATCAATCTCCAAGAGCTGCTGGATAGAATTTCTAATTCAGCAGTGCCATGACACGCAGTCTGTTTCCAGCCAAAGAGAATGAGGCCCGGAGGCTTTAGCTTCCCCAACCCACTGTACATTATCAGGCCAAGCTGACACCCTGCCCCGCCAGGAACACACAGCGTCTGACAGTCATGCAGGCACAGAGATCCCATGGATGGGCCCTCCAACCTAGACGAGGCTATTTTGAAGTTACCTTATTATGGCATTAAGTGTCATTATATATCATTTTAATATATTTTGGATTATTTCATTTGAGACTATCTAGTCCAGTGCTCATGCTCAGCAGCGACCTTCGGAGGCTGCCATGAAGTGGGGAAAGAGAGGGAGCAATGGGTAAGGCAGAGACACAGTTCACCTTCTGTTTTCTATATCGGCCTCCCAAAGTTTCCACTGATGTACATTTTTAAAATAGCAGAACCTGATCCTTTCAGTTTAAAGATGAGGAAATCGAGGCCCACAGGGATGGATCTCTTGCTCCAGGTCATACACTGAGTTATTCAGTCACTAAACAGACTCTAAAGATTGAGGAGCTTATCTCTGAAAAATCAGAACAAGTAAGAATCCGTGCCAATGCCAATGCCACTGTGAACAGGGCAAGTTGTTTCTAGAGACACAGATCAGATTTTCTCTGCTAAGGTCATTAAATCCAAGTCCACCTACAGCGGCACAGTAGCTTTAAGGGTCTGGCATTCCGTGTAACTAGCCACAAGTAGATTGCCTTCTTAGCCAGCTCCAAAATGTCCATTCCAGTCTAGTACAACACACATGTATTCAGTACCTACTACTGGCTAAGAATGAGTAAGAGTTGGACCCTTACCTGGAACTCACACTTGAATGAGGTAAGCAAAGACTGAAACATCTAAGGATGGCAGTGCAAGAGATGAGCACAGGCTAGGGCAGGGAGGAGGTGGGCCTTGCCAACATGGGCTTCTTCCCAAAGAGCCTTTACAGAGATGGATTTCAGTATTTTACAGCGAAGAGACCATAGAGTCAGAACATCTGAGCTTCATCCTTTACAAGCTATGTGACCTTGGGAAAACACCTTTTTTTGTGATTCAGCCTCCTCCTGTGCCAAGTACAACTACCAGGACCTCATGGGATTGTTGTGAGGATTAAGTAAATCAAAAAGTGCTTCAACAGTGGCTGCTGCATACTAAATGAACCTCCTCTATCATTTTTAGCAGCCCCTTGAAGACAGGAGCCCCAGCTCCCCACCACACCATAGTACACTGGACTCCCTAAAGCCTGCTGTTGCCTAGCCATAGGAGCACTTGCCTGGATCTCCATTTTAGGACTGTCTACAAATTTCTCCTCCGGCGTCCGTAGTGGCGAGTCAGCTTACTGAGATGAAGACAACTGCCGCAGTCCAATTATCCAAACCAGTCTGGTCTGTCAAGATCCCTCTTCATCAGAGATGCTGACAGGTGAAACTGACACGGCCAACTTGGTAGGAATTCCACTCCCCTCAACCCAGCCAGCACACAGGCTCCTCCAGGCCAAGGTGTCAGCTGACGAGGAGGGGGATACAGAGGGAAGAGGGCTACATTTCGGGCCGGTGCAAGGTGGGCTCCTTGCTTTCCATCTCTCAGTGACATTGTCCCGGAAGGTGCCTTTTCCATCCTGAAATTCTCAAGCGTGTTATTTTACGATCCCCTGTACACAGATGTGCTCTAGTGAAACAGGATCACATTCTAGGGGCATTCAGAGAGCGTTCCCCTTCCATTTCAGGGACTCTTCAAAACTGTTAGAGATAAGTAATAAACTTTTGCTATTACTCACAGACCGAATTAATTTACGGGCTATTTTTTCCTTAAGCAGAAAGCCACAGTATTATCATCTAAGAAGCACTTAAAAAATGAGACTATCAGCCTACAACATTTTTTTTTTAACCATAGACAAAGCAGAAGGGATGCTGGGCAATGACACTCCCAAGACTGCTATCAAATTCCTAATTGAAATGTTTGTAGGTAACAACCCCCACCTGCAGTCAACTGTGATCCTACATATCCAACTTTCACTTTTGCGACTCCTGAACTGCGACTCTTCCCAGGAATTACGTTCGTCTCCTTTCTGTCTGCATCTGTTCCTTTGTCACCACCAGCACCTCCATCTAAAAAGCCCCCATCCTGCTGCTTCTCCACCTGTCCTAAGTTAGCATGTCTAGTCCAGCCCATTTGAAGCCCCACTTCTTATACAAAGCCATGCTTCTCTTTCCCGCTGGTAGTCATTACCTCTGAGTAGATCATGCAATGGCACTCTCTGGTTTAGGCTCCTCGCTTCGTTTCTATTTCTTTAACCCAACTGTCACGTCCTCAAAGGTGGGAAACCTGGCCTTGCTTTTCTCTCTCTTTTTCTTGTAATTTCTAGAAACACTTGGCCCTAAACTACATACGCCAGTTCTTGGATGCCACCAGTAAAAAGAACATGTGCTTGGGGACAGAAAAACATGCATTCAAATTTCAGCTTTCATGTAAATAGTGTGAACCTATGGTAAGTTCTCTTAATTTTCTGAGAGTGTTTCCTCTTTTGTAAAAAATGAAAACACTTTTCCACATAAGCCCCTTCTGAGAATTAGGTGAATGAGGTTGAATATTATTTCTGTAAGGACATTTCTATATAAGACCAGAGCAATATGAATTATGTATGTAGTGTTCTTACCATCTCCTTTGAAACAGGAAAAAGCCTAGACAACTTTGAGGAACAGATACAAGTCTCTAATAAACACAGGCTCTGAGACATATAGACTTAAGTTAAATTCCTAATACCATGACTTAACAGCGGTCTGAACTTCCATTTCCTCATTTGGGGATGAGAATAATCACATACCTGCTATAGTGACTTACCTACAACAGTGAATGGCCCAGAGTTCTGGCTTAAGAAAGAGATGCTCCTATTCCTTCTGAGTAGATACTACCTTGTACTGTGCTTGGCTGTGACTTGTAATCAAGTCTTGTCGTCTCAGAGAGGTTGTAAGCTATCCGAGCCCCCTAGCCTCAATGCCAAACTCAAGGCTGGGTACAAAGGCAGTAGTCACCAAAGATGCTTAGGCCAATTTCTTGTCTTGTGAGCTTTACTTAGTCAAAGTGAACTGCTCTCTGTGATAACCAGCCGCCCCTGGTTGGCCTACCTCATTCCAACAGGGAGAGAGGCAGGAAATGAATTCACTGTAAGGACTGACTTCTCTTTTAATATTTAAAAGCAACTGTATTTGTCAGAGTCCAGTCAGGGTAACTGAAACTACTCTAAGTCTTTTAACAGAAAGAATTTAATATAAGAAACTGGTTTCATCAGTGACAGAAGAAACCTAGAGACCAAACAGGTGATGTTGAAGCCACCAGAGATCAGCAACAACAGACAGCTGCTACCCCTCTTAGGAATCAAGAGACAACAGGAGGCAGTGGTGTGACCACGGCCAGGAGCTGGCGATGTCAGGCTGGAACTGAAACCAGAGAAGGGCTAAGTGGCCAGAACTGGGACCTGAGAGTGGCTGGGAGCTGGAATCACAGAGAAGATGCAGCTGCTGCTATAGTGAAAGAGAGAAATGACATGGCTTCTCTTCTTCCTGCATGTCCTTCTCCCACCAGTATCTCCTGCTGGCCAAACCTACCCAGAGGCCAGGTGCAAGGAAGCCTTGGAAATGGAAAATACAGCAGAGCAGGGGCTGGGGGGTATGCTCTCTGAGAGCAAACAGGCAAAGGACCAGCCATGCCATCATCCAATAACATACGTATGTAAAGCACTAATACAGCATGTGATTTATAATCAGCTAACAATGATAGTTATCATCATAAATATTACTATAATTTTGTATAAGTCTCATTATCATAATATTACTATAATTTTGTATACCTCTCCTTGAGTGTTTATTCACATTGGTAACTGTATTAAATACTTTATATATATTATTTCATTTAATCTTCACAAGAATTGTATGAGGCACAAACTCTTAATAGTCTTATTTTCACAAATGAGCAAACAGGCTTAGAGGGGTGAAAGGACTGACCTAATGCACAGTTAGAGAATGTGAAATACGGCCCTATTTATTACGTACGATATGAATCACACTGCTGATAGTAAAAAAGAGGGTACGAGATAAGCCGGACGTGGAACTCCTTGTAATTGCTGGGACGGTATTTTGAAGACCTATATTTCCAGGGCTGACAGCCTAGAACACTCTGTGAACATTAGATTTGCTTTTTAGAAAGTAGATATTTAAAAAAAATTAGAGTATAGCAGACCATCTTTCAGTGAAAATATTTCACGGGGTAGCAATCGTCCAAATGGAAAAAAAAACACATCACTTAAAGTGGTTTAAAAAAGTCCACGGCATTCTCTCTTGCAGGCAACAGGGTATTTTTTACTAAGAGGATGCCAAGTTCCATGGCCTCCGTGGGCTTGCTGTTTACGGATATCTGATATGTTTCAACATCTGTCGTCCTTCTCGATTGATGGGTGCTTCGTTTTAGCACCTCTCTTATGCCAGGCTGGTAGAAAGCCTTAGTACTGAGGTCCTCTAAGACACCCCTAGGTCAGTGACTCAGCTTTGTTTACAAAGCTGGCTTAGGAAAGGAATATTCAGGGAAGACAGGTGAAGAGATATGCTGTCTATCCACCAAACCAGGTATTCCCTGTTCTATCCCCGAATCAAGTGACATCTCCAGAAAGGCATAAACCCAGGCTATCCTAGACTTGAGATCAGGTTTCAATATCATGCTCTCAGCTCTCAACAAGGTTGTATATAATAAATTCTTCTGCATCTTCTACAAATCCATGGAAGGATTTCTAGGTTCACTGATTTTAAGAAATAACAATTGTATAATTTGGCACAATCAAAAATGTGGTCTTTTTTTTTTTTTTTTTTAAAGAACTGGTATATTTCCTTGACTCCATGAACAGCATGTGACTTGACATATTTCCCAGTTTTGCCTTGGCTGCCGGAGTCCAGTCACAGTAATCCTCTTAGTGCAGGGCATATACTCACAGGCCAGATCTGTCCCATAGATGTTTCGTTTGGCACTCACCAAACCCAAGTGAAACCAATCTGAGTTTCAACATCCTTAGGCAGTACTTTTGGTACTACTAATAATACTTTTCTAGTACTTTTCTCCAACCTGGTACAGAATCAAATCATCTTGTCCTTTGTTGGTATCTTGCCATGTATATTATATGGCTTGATTCCTACCTGAAGGCATTTAAGTTTGAGGACACACCCCCAATATAAGGGGTTGGTGTGTTTTTCCTTTTCTACATAGTTTCTGACTTGTCAGTTTCATTCTGGTAGCCTTAGTCATTTGTTATAAGCTTTCTTAAGTCCTTTATGGAAGCAGAGTATGAATGATAAATTAATACATCGTTTTGTTCCTTAAGCAAAACTGCCGAGATCAGTGTGAGCAGCTGCATCCCGCCATGTCCAAGGGTAATGTAATGCTCTCTGGTGAGTCACCCGGGCCTGCCCCACCTGTCCCACCTACCTCACCTGTTAAAGGGTCACCACAGCTGTAGGCTCTGCCCCATGATTCTCTCAAATAGGAGGAAGGAAGAACTTCCTCACCAGTAAGTGAGGGGTCTGGACATTAACGAGTGGCATCTGCCCTACTCTAGCATGCAACATGCAAATCTAGCTCTAGGTACCTTCCAAAGCACTGGGCTGTGGGAAGCCACACAGAGGGTGGGTCTGGCGCCAGACCACCTGAGTTTAAACCCGCATTCTGCCTCTAACCATCTAAGTGACCTTAAGGAAGCTTATCAATGTCTTGGTGTCTCAATTCCCTACTTTATAAAGTGGCATGATGATACCGCCTACCTAATAGGGCTGTTGTGAAGATTACATTAACACAGGGAATAATAATAGCACTTTTTTTGTATAACAGGCATTGTGCCAAATGTGCTTTCATTCACAGAATCTTTGCAACAATTCAGTGGGGTTAGTTAATATGGAACTGAACTCTGAGAAATTAAGTCACTGGCCTAGCCAGGTTTGTTCATGCAACTAGCAAGCCAAGGAGATGCCATCACCCTGGGGGCGGGGTGTTGAAAAGTGACTTAGAGGGTTACTTTCTCTCTGCTGCCCCATTTAATTTCCTCTTACCCTGCCCAAGATGGACTCAGCTCACTTCCTCTCTCCACAATCCCCCCTCCGCCCTGACCTGGTAGTAGGCAGTTGCCACAATAGCACATGCCTGAGGCTCCAGCAGTAGTTATTAATGTTTGCTTATGTTGAACTGAAATGGAGAGAGACTCCATTTCAGAGAGTTGAGCCCCATGTCCCCTCCTCTGTTTTCAAGGGAGGCATTCCGTTGCAAGATAAACAGCACAGGCCGGAGGTCCCACTGCCCCTTGAGTTCCAGCCTCATCTCCAGCTAATCCTCCAAGGCCCAGTTCAAATGTTGCCTCCTCTGGACGCCCCTCCTAGCCCTTAAGGCAGTGGAAGACACTCCTTCTTGAATGCTCCCTTGTCCCATTATAGTAATTGTAGTTTAAACAAAAAAATGGCCAACATTAAATAAAACCACTTTGCTTTATATGTACTAACACGTTTACTCCTTACAACAAGAGTTATGAGATAATTTATCTACGCTGTTATCTTTTTCGAATGAGGGCTCTGAGGCACAAAGAAATTTAGTAACTCACTCAAGGCAAGTGGAGTCTTTGCCGTCTTGACTTTTTCATAACTGTTTCTATCTGTGTCTACCTTCCCCCTAGAAGACTGGGAATTCCTTGGGCACTGAGATTGTGTCTAATGCTTCTTTGTCCTGCTGCCATCTAGGCCTGATCCTGTCATATGTGAGCTTGTTTTGACGAACCTTGGCTTACAGAAGGAAACAGCCATCCTCATCAACTATTTGAATCCAGGCCCACACACATGCCTTTCCCAGGTCTAGTCCACTGTCTTCTGTCAGCCCAGCTAGCTCAGCCCACCCTAGCTCAGCAGCGGAGGAGATCAGAAAATGCATCCTGGCATCACAGGAAGGACCGGAGTAAAAGGTGCATTAATGGGGGCAAAAACAAGCCAGCAGAGTGATTAATTTGGCCTTCCTTCAATATTATGTTTACACAAGTTGATTATATAGCACTTAATTACTAATTTGCCCCTACTTAAACCAAGAGTGCTTTTAATTTTTAATGAGATAAGGGAAGAAGATGCCTTTACTTAGTAAGGAGCAGCTATTTTATTTCCCTCTCTTGTTTTGCCCAGCCAATTAATAACATTTCTAAGGAAATGCATCCCTCTCATTAATTCCTTCTCCTTATCATCTTTCCGACCTCCCAGGTTTAAAAAGAGATGGAAACAGACAAGAGCCACTTGGAAACAAATTGACTTCACCTCGGACCTGGCAGGCTAGGACGGCAAAGGCCTTGTGATGTGGAGTAGCATGGTGCCCATAAATAGTGCTATCTGATTGTTTGGGAGTTGGGTGTTTCTATGCCCAGGAATCATGAACGACATAACATATACAGAACACAGTCATGGGTCTCTAAATAAGGCAATGCCCCTAACACCTGCTTTGTTTCCTAGTGTTAATGTCAGATAATTTTAAGCACAGTCCTGGGGCTGCCTAGATACAGAGAAGAACATGGCCATTGAGTCAGACCTGGATTTGACTGCTAGCTCTGCCACTTGCTAGTTGTTGGACCCTGTACAGACTACTTAAACTTGCTGAGCCTGCTTTTTGTCTATAAGGAGGAGGTGAATGAATAATCTAACTTGCAAGAATTAAATGTCATCTAAGCTACCTTGGCACAGTGCTCAGCTCAGAATAGGTGCAGAAAAACATTAGTTTTCTTTTTTTTTTTTTAACAGAAGATAAGGTAGGAAAATGAAAGCAAAGAAAGGGACTCCAATGTGTTTATCATTATCTGCAGAGCTAGGAATCTATTTCAGCGCTACTCAAGGGGCCTAACCATAATGACATAGGAGTTTGCCCCAGAAATTGAGCCAACACACTGATTCTTTCACTTAGAACATCTTGCTATGAATAAAATGTCAGCTGAACTAAACAGTACACTCGGTGACACAATTGATTTACATTCTGCAAGTTCCTTATTTCATTGCAAATCTGAACAAACCACTTAGAGACTGGCCTCCGGTCTGCAGACTGCTTCGAGCAGCCCAGCCTGGAGAACTATGTTGGACATATCCATGTGCCTCTGAAGATGCCTCCCCACCCTTCTCTGAGCTTAGAGATGTTGCCTTTTACAGAATACTTCAATGAGCTCCCTTGCTCTCTGACTTTGAGTCCAGTCAATGGGGAGGCTGGCAGGAGGTTAGACCGAGGGGGGAGAACAGGGTTAAAAACGCAGCCCTTTTCTTCCAGGGTTCCTGGCAAGCTAGCTGCCTGGGCAGTCCCCACACAGGCCTCAGTTCTAAACTTCCAGTAACCGTGCTGTCCCCTCACCTCTGCAGGCCATGCTGTTACAAACCCCAGGGTACCACATTCTCCTTTGTGATTTATGTCCTGCCCACAACTTTGTAAATAGTCCCTATTTTAAACCCTAAAAAATTATCCTAATTCGAGGGTGTTCTCTGTTTACCTGTGCGGACATTGACTAACACAGGGGCATTTTAATACACATCTAAATTCTTACCTATTTCTGATACTAATTTTTAAGAGTCCATTTCCATTTGTGGGCAAGTCGAACAATCCTTGGTTTGAGAATCCTAGGTTAGGACTTGGATTCTGGCTCCATCACTTTTAACCACTTCGGTACGGCGCTCACTGGCCACGAAACCTCGCCCACAGCCGGCACTCACAGTCCGCACGACAGTCTGTGCTGTGCATCGACGACGAGTCTGTTTTGCTCTTGTGTGATGAGGAAAGCTTTAAAGCACTGAAAGCTTGTTTTACTTTACAGGCAGCTTTACTTGTGATGTAAATCAGAATAGGTAACATATACATATATGTTTTCATTACGTTATTTTTAAATGTTCACAATTTTGATAAATGAAAAATTAGAAAAGTCATATCACGGCTGTCGGCTAAAGTCGCTGTGTGTTCATCTGTGGCTGGCGACTATAGTCGATGCTATACCAAAGTGGTTAAGCCAGTGGCTCTGGTAAATCACTTAATCTCTCTAGCCCTTATTTGTAAAATTAACATGATAATTGTATAGGAAATTTCCTTATATACAACCTTTAACATAGTATAAGATGTTCAAATTTCTTTGAAATGCATACAATTAAAGACATGCTACTCATGTTTCTGAATCCATGGTAGTTTCTTATGGTTTTACTGCAGAGAATCAAATACCTCCATTAGGCAATGTAATAATGATTTCTTTTTTTTTTCTTCTGCATACTTTTTGATCATTTGCCTAAATGCTACAACCAAAATTCGTTCATAGACTCTGTACTTTCCACATTCTGAGTCAAGCTTTTCCTAGTAGTATGTGGTAGGCATGTGCATAGTAATTCTTCAGGGCTATTTTCCCAATTATAGAATATTCTTGATTTAACTAAAAGCCCTATCTTTCTGATCTCTTATTTGATTTCATAGCTTAATTTATTGTGATGAATATTAAGTTTATATAGCATGGATTTCATTGCTATTAATGACTTCTCCTGGTGTAAAGAAAAAAAAAAACTACCTATTTCCAGTTTATTCCAACAAGAAAATTTATAATAAAAAGGCATAAATAATAATTAGAGTAAGGGATTGATTATTTATAAGCATTTCTTCCTAGGAGATGCTCTTACATATTATTTTTTTTAAGATTTGTACCAGTATGAAATGCTGTCTTGAAAAAAGTCAAAGGGTTAGGTAAACCGTATTTTAGAAATATAGCTCTGTAATCCTGAATTTCTAAGAACTCAGCAGATGTTTGGCCATTGTTTGCTTTTATAAAAGCCCAATTCTTAAGTTCCTGAATAAAAATTGTGGAGGAGTGATGACAAATGTGTGATGCTGATATTTTTTATAAACCACACCACCCTGTGAAGAGCAACTGGGCTGCCATATTGAAATCTATGTACTTCCTTGGCAATGCATATATATTTAGTAGGATATGGTTTGATGGAATAAAAAGAGCATGGACTTTGTATCAAGCAAGCTATACAATGTCTCTGTGCTTCAGAGTCCTCATCTGCACAAGGGGCACTGTTCACACCCATTGGGTTACTTCAAGGATTCGATAAATGATAATTCATGAAAAATAACAGGCCCTGTTCCTAGATCACCCTATAATGAACAGGAAAGTCATATTTTACATATATTATATTGACATAATTTCATAAAAAAAGAATTCTAATTTTGAGCTTTGACTTTCACATCCATGGTACCATTCTGCAATCTAGAACGAGAAGATTTATAATCAATCAGAACCTGATTTGTTTTTAATTTTGTTTATCTGGAAGAGGGGAATTCTTAAAAAAATAAGAATGTATTGTTAACCAGGTGTGGCAATAAGTATAAAGACTGTTAGGGCCAACATCACATTCTTATTTAATTCTTCTTTCAGCTATTAATTACCATTCCAAAGTGTTCTATTGACTTTCTATGGGACATCGACATGTGGGACAGGATACTCAAAAAATTCAATCAGTAATCTGAATCTATTTAATTAGAAACCAGAATCTCATATCTCCAGAAACACATGCTTAAGCAGAAAAGGGCAAAAGGCCATGAAAAAAAGTTGATAATATCAGGACCATATGTGAAATGAATAGGATTATAAGAGGCCTGGAGATGAAAGCTAAGTGGAACTAAAATGTTCAGCAAGAGATTCCTTGTACACAAGAAATGTAAGCCCTGAATCTTCACACACTGTTGGTGGGAGTATAAATTATTACTACAAATCAAAACTCTAAAAGTTGGGCAAATTTTTTGCCCCAACAATTAGATACCTCCATAATTTGTTTTATGGAGACAATTTAGGATGTGTGCACATATTTAGCTACAGAGTTGTTAGCTGCAGCATTCTTTAAAACAATGGAGAAAACCTAAATATTTAAGACTTGGGAACTGGTGAAATAGGTGATGATATATTTTAGGGGATAGAAAATTATACAGCCTACAAAAATGATAAAGAGGTTTACTATATATTTTTGGGTGGGGAAAAAGCAGTATGCATTGTATGGATACATTTTTATAATTTAAAATACATAAAATGATTTAAAAATATATATGAAAAGATTTAAAGAACAGAAACTAGAATTTTAAATAGTTCATAATTAAATAACCTAAAATAGGTTATTTTAGGGTAAAAAGATCAGTGTTTTCATATTTTCTTTCATCTCAATTAAATTTTCTTCTTTTTCCTTCAATGTTCACGAATTATTGCTAAAAAAGAAAAAAAAAAGCATGCAAACTAAGACTGCACCAAGAAATAGGATGGTTTCATACTTCTGAATATCCACTATATTTCTGTCTTTCCAAAACTCCAGAAATTAAAGTGATGATTAACCAGCTTTACTTTGCAAATTGCAAAGCTGGTATTTATGGTGATAGGAAGCCAAATCGAACTAAAAATCACAGAAAGTTGACTCTCACAAAATAAAACAGAATGGAAGACATATTGTATACAAAAATCGCAGGCCTGGAAGTGAGTGCTGCGCAATGAATTTAACTGGCTTTAAATGAAGTAAATTTTATGGGGGAAAAAAAATAGGAGAAGCTTTAGCTAAGCAATAAGGATGTTTGCAAGGACTGACCTCAAGGGTAGACCGCTGCGGTCTGCATGGATAGTTTATCTTGTGGGCACACATTACAGAAGGGGTGAGTAATCACAGCTCTCAACTGGCCACTTACATGTATTGGTCTGGAGACGCAGGAGTCTGTCTGGAACGTGACAGGGAAAGTTGATGGTGGGAATGTGTGGAGTCAGTGGTTTACAGGGGTGGCAACGCTCACACGGTGGGAGGAAGAAAGGTTTTTGATTAATTGGTTGATTTCAAGGGCTTATTTTCTTTACCTTGGTGCTCCCCTTAAAATGATTGCTGAATTCATTTTGATCTCTTGTCACTGTCTCCTTTTGCTGAATTTTGCTTCAGATGCTTCTTTCACTTCTTTTGGGTGGGCGGGGGCAGGTGTCAAGACAAATAGCACTGCTGGAATTAAAGTATGTTTTGTATAAACAGTCTTGGGGAAAACTGCCCCTTATAATAAGAAATTACAGAAAGCTAATGACATCTGCAGGGGGCGTGAAGGAAGCAGAAAGTGGAAAGCCATTTCATATTTCTGCATCTTTGCCATTTGATTGGGTTTTCTCTCATAACAACTCGAAACCACTGCTTGTTTTATTTGTCCTTGCATTTCTTAGAACCTTTCTACTGTCTGTGCTTAGAAAATGTAAGCAATGGTGATGTTTCACAAACTTATTTTCTCCAGTTTGTTAATTTTCCAGGATCTGGGAGCTTGTAGAAGTGTCACGGGATGTTCCCAATTTCTAAGTATAATTATTTATTTGCCAGGATACTCAGAATTATACAGGATCATTTTGTACCACACTGATGCGGGGACAGGGGAGTGACCAGGTGGAAAGGTCAACAGAGATCAAGACGACATGGATGCCACATGCCTATGAGTAAAAGAAGGGGACTGCCTTCCTTGTGTCCCCTCCCACCTGCTCAGTGGCTGAACTTTGCCCAGGAGAGCAGCATATCTGTGGTCCGATTCCATATTATTCATCAAGCCGCAGATACAAAGAGGACCTTGACTTGCTCTCAAGAATACTTTTCCTTAAGGAGATTATACTCTCTAGTGAAGACACAGTTTTTGAAGACTACTAAAAGGAAAATACACTTTTTGAAGATGTCCAACTCTTTAAGATATTATCAGTCATTCCATTCTTTAGAATGGACACATGGTTGTATCAGTACACTTTGTGAGATCCTAATTTGAAAAGGAAATAGTAATAGAGTTTAGATGTCTAGAGGATGACTGAGCAGAAAAGGGCAGGGGAAGAGAGGGAAAGAGAACCTAAGGGAATATAAATGGATAAAAGGACAGGGGGTGGAAGCTAGGAATTGTCAGCATGCTTTAAAATTTGCAATAGCAAAGGACCTTGTAGTTGACCATCTCTCATTAACACCCCACCAGAAAATTCCATCCATTGTATCTCTCCTTCCACCTGATAAAATTCCCCCAGAATTGAAATACAGAAAAGTTTACAATAGCTATTAAATATAAGTAAAATCCACAGCAGTGGATACATTCTGATCCACTAGTATCACCGAAGGAAGGTACAGGGCTCCTCCCCTGGCTGAAACTATCTGTTCACAGACCTGGGACATTGGGAAACTGTCTCTCAGGCCTATAAACCTCTTCCCTGAGTCTGCAGTCTGGGTTCTCTGGAGTCTTCCTAGCCTTTCCTCCATCTGAAGGAGTTGACTCTGGCTGGGTCTAGCAAAGTCGGCCCATCTAGATAAGAAGTGAAATCTTCCATCCAACTGCTAGATGTGTCATCTATGAGAAGACAAAACATCTGGCCTGCCTGAATAGTTAAGTTGCTGGCAGGAATTGCTCAGCTTTAATAAAGGAAGGAATGGAAGGCACCCTGCAGACTAAGCTAGGATCTTTGAAGCTCAAAGAAAAGACTGTATGGATGTTCAGGTTGAAAAATAGGAATCACAGGGAGGAAGCAAGTTTGTCTTGCCTCACCTTGCCAGAATCTTGAGCTGGCCCCCAGGTTTGGGGCACAGAGGTTGACTCCTCTTCTTTGGAAAGGGGCTCATGAAGCCAAATCTACATGCATTTGCATTTCCAAAGCAGTCCCAAAGGATAATCATTCTAATGATGTTGAGTATATCTGAGAAGTCACTGGGACTTCCCATGGCTCTTCATCTCAACAGTCACACAGGAGGGGCGATTCTTTACATTTAAACATTTTTTTTTAAAGAAACAAAACATATAGAACAAGCACCCAGAGAGGACAGGTGACATTGTCTGAGCTCAAGACCATAAGGATTCCTTCAGGTAAGTGATGATAGATAAGACCTCAGGCTTCTCTCAGCCGGCCCTCCTTTTATAGATTATGTCTCCTGACAACAGGACAGGCACATACTTCCTTGTGTTGAATAGGTGACATGAGCTTGCCTTAAGATGCTATGAGCCCTGCAGCTGCTACTCAAGTCATCAGTTCCAATATCTGATTTACCATACCTTAAATTCTGTTCCAGAAGATTAAGAGCAAATCTCATGCAGTGAAGATGTCAGTGTAGAATGAAGCTTGGTTTCCGATTAGGGGAAGATGTGAGTGGAATTCCCTTGGAGCTAGAAATGCTAGTTTCCTGATTTGTGACTGATGGCATTCTTTTCAGAAGATACACCTTTGAACACGTATGAAGTAAAAAAATACTTTTAAAGAAAAAAAATTGAAGAAATTAGCAAAAGAATGATAATCAGGATAGAATACAGATCTAGAGAAACCTTCATTTCAATTCTGTTTCTGTCCTAATTAACTGCATAGCATTGGGCAAACAACTTAAAATCTCCCTGAGTCTTGGTTTCCTCATATGTAGCACAAAGAAACAAACATTTATCCCCTAAGCAGGAAGACTGTCAAAATCGAATGAGGTGTCTTAGCTTAGGCTGCCATTAAAAACAAAATAAAACAAAACGATAGACTGGGTGCTTAAACAAGAGAAATTAATTTTATCACAGTTCTGGATGCTCAAAGTCTGAGATTAGGCTGCTAGCATGACCAGGTTCTGGTGAGAGCCTTCTTTTGGCTTGTAGACAACCAACTGCTTGCTGTCCTCACGTGGCAGAGAAAGAGAACAGGTTCTCTGGTGGCCACTTATAGAAGGGCTCACAAGACCATCATGACCCATGGGATCAGGGCCCTGCCCTCACAATCTTATGAAACCCTAATTAATTCCCAAAGCCCCATCTCCAAATACCATCATAATGGGGCTCTGGGCTTCAACATCTGAACTTTGGGGGGGACACATTTAGTCTACAACACAAGGTAACCTATACAGTACCTTAAGTAAGGATTCCTGCTGTTTGGTTTTAGATATTATAATTTGGCCCAGGAAGGATAAGACATCTATTTGTGAGAACATCTTCAGGAGCTGATACATTAAAATAATTGGCAATTCATTGACATTTCAACAATAAATATCTCCTCGTGATGTTTTCGAGGAAAAACCAGAATATCCAGAAAAAGTTGAGAATTCAACTTATACCATCTTTATTTAAAGACTCAGTTAAAATCCACACATATTCACGAGTAGATTCAATTCCTTGGAAGAGATATTTCACAGCTGTTAATTCCAGAGGCTTGGATGGTGTGTAGTGTACCGTATTTTCCCAAATGCAGTACAAAGAGCATCAGACTTTTGCATGTGTCCATTTCTAACAGTATACCCTTAAGTTTTATAAGCTTTCTGGGTCTCTGTTGTCTGATCCCTCTGGCCTATGAAGAGTTGTTATAGGTAGTAGGCAGCGTATACAAAAAGCTCCTAGCATAGTGTCTGGTACATAAAAGGGTCACAGTAAATGGAGCTGTAATTACTGAACTGCTGGTGGAAAATCTGGCATTTAGCCTAACCCTGATATCTTGGGCAAGTCACTGAAGCTCTCAGATTCTCAGCTGAACAAACATCTCTTTGAGTTCTCAGTTGAGACTCTGGAGCCAGATTTCTCAGTTGTGACATTCACTAGCTGTTTCAACGTAGGCCGAATTATTTAACTTTTTTATGACTCAGGTTCCTCAACTATAGAGTGGGAATAATAGAACTGTTGCAGGGAATAAATGGGCATGGGTGCCCCAAAGAAAGAACTCGTGATACATTATCGATCATTATTATAGAAAAAGAGTTGGTGGCGCAGAGCAGGGTGGTTAGGTCATATGAGCTGGGAGGAAGTCAGGCTAGGAGTTGAGCCCAGGTGGTCTAACATCAGAGCCTATGACCTTAACTTCTATACTATACTCTTTCTCTCTTTCTTTTTAGTATTATTTCAGCACTCAAAGCCTCTCCATAAAGCCCCACGTGTGCAATGTCTTTCGCAATTTGGTGGTAGGAAAAGCTTTGTCTCTCACCAGAAACTAGTATGTTTCCCCTTTTTAAAAATGAGAATTACACAACTTATCATGTGTTCTTTTTTGTCTTGGCTGCCAGGAAGCTCAGAGCCAAATTATTTTGTTTAATCACAGCCACTAGATTGTTTCCTTCTTCCTATATATTTGTTCCTTAATTTCCCTTTTAATTCCCTTTTTACTAACATTTTCATTTGTGTTTCTCATTGATAGAGGCCTTAAGGGTATTTGGAAAGTGGTGGGATTGGCATGGACAAATACAAATCTGAAATATACATCAAAAATTGTAGTTTTGAGACTTACCTGTTTCACTTGCTCAAAGAAAAACAGTCAATGGGAAATTTAAAACAAATAATTAACAGGCTATTTTAAAGTAGAAAAAAGAAAACCAACAGAAAAACAGAATGAACCAACATTAACACAAGCCAAGTCAAAAGAAAACTGCAATAAATATGTCTGAGGCTAGAAGTGTTTGTGCTTCCCCTGGCTGGAACCTATCATTTCTTAATTATATCCTGTGTGTGTTTTGCAAGACGTGAGTTGCTGTCAAGAGGAGGGACGGCCTCAGACAGGGGAGGGGCCCTGGCCCGCCCCTTGGTCCTCACATACCTGTACAGAAGTGAAATCCCCCGAGGCACAGGCACCCAGAATAGCAGCGCCCACAAGGACAGATTCCACCTCTTGCGACAGGACCACGGGCATGCCTGCGCAGGACAAGGCCACACCTTGGTTAGAGAGCGGGGCTGGGGGCAGTGTGGGGAGCCAGCCTGCAGCCCTGGTGGCAAAAACTCCTGAGGTCAAGGCAGTAGCAGGGGCCTCCTCTCCACCTCCCCCACCAAAGTTCCCTGTTCCTTAGGATTACCTGCTTCTAGAAGATTTCACTGCCTGTGCCTGCTGGGGAGGTAGCCCAGGAGCCCAAGGGAGCCAACACCATAGGCGTCTACTCACGAGACCTTGGTGCCCAGGTTTTCCAGGCTTCGGCAAGCTGCTACCTGCCGTTTGGTTCAAGTTCAGTTCAACAAATGTTTTACTGAGTGCTTTGCTGGCCTGGGGAATACTGAGATGAATCAGACTGTGTCTCTCGCAGGGGAGATGGATGAGAGCGATAAGGTCTGTGTAGGGGGCTGCAACTGCGATGTACCCAGAGAAGGGTAGTAGCAGAGAGGGTGGGATTCACCCTGCAGGGGCTTCCCACCTGGCTCAGAGTGCCAGCTGCAGCCCTTCAGGGGCTGACAAGGGGCGGCCCTCCTGGATCTGGCCCCAGTGCTCCGGGGCTGCTTTCCTTCCCTCCTCCCAGCGAGGCTGTCCTGGCTTCCTTGCTACTTCTTGAGTGTGCTCCAGGGCCCTTGCCCATGCTGTTCCGTGTCTGGAACACTTCCTCCCAGACACCCACGTGGTAACTGCCACCCCTCCCCAGCGAGCCCTCCCCAGCCTTCCAATTTCAACCTACAACTTCCCCTCAACACACTTTAACCCCTGCTCTACTTCCTCCCCACCTTCCAGAGTGTTTTACTCATCTTGCTGGGTATCTGTCTCCCCTGCCAGAACTGAGGCTCCTTGAGAGGAGGGACTTGGTTTTGTCTACTGCTGTATCCCTGGCATTTAGACCAGTACCTAGCACGGGGCAAGTGATTAAATGACGAGAGAAGGACTTTCTGGGGTAGTGGTCATTCCAGTGGAGATAAGACTTAGACAGGTATCTGAAGGCTGAGCAGAGGTCCCAGGCAGGGAGAAGCCTTCCACATGCTTCCAGAGCCTGAGGGTTCACGGTAGGTTTAAGAGTAATAGAAATAATTTGGGATTCTTAGCATTTCAATATATATATATGTGTGTGTGTGTGTGTGTGTGTGTGTGTATACAGCACCTCCAAATGCCATCCATCTATCTATCTGCTAATCAGGAGATGGCAGCAAACTCCACAGAGGTGAGATCTGTGGTGTAAAATCTTCCTCTACTCAAGATATAGAAGTCATTTTTCCAAAGACGGGTTTCTCTTCCTATCTTGCCTGTGAAGACTTCCCTGACGCACACTTCCACATCCCATCACCTCCTCACTCATCTCCTTCCTTCAGGGCAGGCTCAGCTGCCCCAGGTACCCCAGACAAGGAGGACGCAGAACAGAGTACAGCCCCCCAAGAGGACGCCAGCCCCCACACTGCTGGGCCAGACCTTGGGCCTTTGCCAACAAGGTGCCAGGTGGGATAGGGGCTCTGGGGAGCACTCAGACTCGGGTTTGTTTCTGGTTCCACTAGCTCTGTCCTTCAGCACATCACTCACAATCTTAGCCTTGATTTCCCTACATGCAAAATGGGGGTGAAGATAAGACGTACGGCACAAGCGCGTTGTGAGCATTAGTGAGAGGGCGCACACGCGATGCTTAGCACATTTCCTGGCCGATGGTGAGCCCTGGAGACACGGCTGCTGCTACTGTTAGAATTAAGAGCCACGTGAGCGAAGCCTCTGCATGTGCGTTTCACCCGGGCTGGCAACCGGACCAGAGGGGAAAGGACAGGGCAGGTTCCCATCAACCCCCAGACGGGAAGCAGAGACACCAGGCTACAATGAAGGGCCGCGCTGGCCCTATCAGGAAAGGGCACTGCAAGGCTCTGCAGAATCCCAGGGATGGCGCAGACATGACTGTGGCTGTGCCTACCCAGGCTTTCCTGGGGACCCGGGACGTTGGAGAAGACAGCGCCTCCAAACGCCATCTACTTCCCAGGTCTGCCTTCTTCTGCCAGAGTGTCCCTAGTTCTGACAAGAGAAAGGATACTCGTAGGTCCCTCCCCTTGGGAGCCAGAGACCAGAGTGAACCTGAGGGTCCCTGATCAGCTCTCGAGTTGCAGCCCAAAGTGCTCTAGAACCAGACTGCCAGGGTTTCAGTGCTGGCTTCCTCACTGACTTAGTAGTGTGATCCTATACAAATTACCTGACCTTTCTGTGACTCAGTTTTCTCATCTGCAAAATGGGGTTAAAATTCCACCTACGTCATAGGGTTGCTGAGAGGATTAAAAGTGCTGTTATAAGCATGGGATTTAAAATAGTGCTTGACTTACAGAAAGCACTAAATTAACATTAGTTGTTATGATTCTTAAAGTTTACCTTATCTCTGAAGTCTCTCTCCTCACACCTATTACCCTGGGTGGACCAACCCATGCTTCCATTTGCCCTGCAGATCCACCCCTCCTCCTCCCACTCACCCTGAGCCCCTGTAGACTGGTCTGTGGGGACCACATCTGTGTCCTCCCCTGCTCCCCACTCCATCCTTGACTAGACTCCTGCCGGGCTGCCCTCTTCATGTAGCTCCTCAGCCTTAGGTTGGGCTCTGCTCCCTGCCTTCAGCCCTGCAAGCCCAGGGGTGAAAACACTGTTAGCAGCCCCAGGGCACTTACTGGTTGTCTGGATTTCCTCCACCCTGCCCACACCTCTGTAAATACACTCTTTATTCAACTTTTCTCCAGCTAACCCAATTTGAATGTGTATCTGTTCCCTGCCTGGACCTGACTGATACTGACACCTCTGTCCTCTGGGTCCCCACTCTACTCTGTCTGGATCTTGGTCAGAGGACCAACGGTACTTTTTCTGTGTTTTATAACGAACCTCTTGGCAGGACATTATTGTTCCTCTTTGTATTCCTATGCCAAGCTCAGGACTTGGCAGGCTGGTATGTTCAGAGAATGCTTTTGAGTGAACAAATGAATGAATAAATGATTAAAATAATGAATAAGACAGGAAGAGGGGAAACCCCTACTGAAATTGCCAGTACTGAAAACAAAATTTAGAAGAAGGAACATTTAGTCCCCAGTAAGTGGGGGAAGCCTACAATTACTTAGTACACACCAAGTATTTTTTGTAACCACAGCTAACTAAGTGGCCAGGGTACAAGGAGGTTCTTCCGTCTCACGTAGACATTTTCCAAGCTGGCAAAGCCCCTTTTCCTTGCTTGCATGGAGCAGTCTGTTCCCAAAATGACAAAGACTTATTACAAAATGTTAAACTGCTTTTTTTTTCTCAAACATGCCTCCTTCTTTGTGGCATGGTGCTACCTGGAGGGAAGAAGTGAACTAACATTTATGGATCATCTCCTTTGAGCCAGGCACAGAGCTTGGTGCTCACAAATGTGGGAGCATTTATTTCTCAGCAAGCACCAACTACATGTGGGAGCTGGTAACATTTCTGTTTTCCAGAAGAGGGAACTGAGGCTCAGAGAGGTACAGCAACTTTCCTAAAGTCACAGGGCTGGTCTCCTGTTTTTTTCCACTATTCCACACTATCTCAAAGAAAGTCTTCCACATTCCATTGTGCTTTTTCACATGTCTTTCTGAGAATCACCTACCAGGTCTATGGTCCTCTCTAAGACTTTCTTTGTAGGAAAACTGGAGCAAACGCAATATTTAAAGGCACCAAAGGCACTACAGGCTGCTGTGTACGTGCCTTTTACAGGGACAAATGCAAATGTGTTCTTTTCTCTGAGTGCTGGGTGAAGGAGAGGAAGAGGGCAGCTTTGCTTGGAATGTGAACTATTTTATCTGATGCATTAATGAGTTTAGCAGAACCCAAAGCATTCAAAGGCAGATGCACTTTGCCATCACTTGTCAGTCACAGGCTTCCAAAGGCAGAGAAATTCCAGGCCAAAGAAAAGGTCCCTTTGTCTGGAACTGTAACTGGTCCATAGTTAGAGACAAAGGGTCCAGTTTCAATCCGAATCCAAATAACGATTAACAGCGTTTTCATTCAACAGCCTGGAGGAGAACAGTTTCCAAAGCAGAACTTTCTGTGATGCTGCTGCACTCCCCCTGCTTCTGAGTCAGCTCAGCGATGTCAGGCCTGGAGGACGACCCATTTTCACCAAGGCCAGAGCCACAGCATTGAATCCCCGCCCGGTCTGCTCTGCCCTGTTTCCCATTCCCTGGTATGTTGCTCAAAGCTGACTTTCATCTTCCCTCCTGCATCCGGGTAGGAAGTCTTTTTGGCTAGTAGTAGGCTTCAGATTTTAGGTTTGAACCTTACCTGAACCAGCCAGCTGCTTTTTAGTTAAGATGTAGTTAAGTTTTTCTCCTGGGGAAAATTATAAGGTAACTGGGACTCTTTTTATGTCTTTGCTCTTTCAGAATGGGGTCTTTCAGATAAGCCCTGGAAAGTGGGCTCATCATCAAATGGGACAAACTGGGCAGAAAAGTCAAGAGACCTGGGTCAGCGGCACAGCACAGAGGAGTGCTGGGCCCATGCCTGCCTGGGTCACAATCCTGGGCCTGCCCCTTGCTGGCTGTTTGACTTCAGAAACTCCACCTAATTCACCTCCCTGACCCTTAGTGTGCTTGTCTGTAAGACAGGAGCACCGATTTCTATACTACCTTTTGGCAGGATGTGAGGATTAAATGTACGTAGAGTGATTCACACTGACAGAGACTAGGCGCTTGGTCAATGGGAGTCATTTCTGTACTTTACATCCTGATAGCTCTACCCTTAGACTGGATGCTTTTCTTACTGCCCTACCACCTGTGCTTCAGTCTACTTGTCTATGATATGGAGGTAAGTGACTTACTTAGTTTAACTCAAAATGTGCAAAGATCACCCATGTTCATAGTGTTAGACAAGGCTCTCATCTGCAGAAATCTGTGTGGCCTGGAGCGGGAGGGGGGCTGTGATGGGGCAGAGACTCTGATCCGTACAGTTGCCAGAGGTAAGGAATCCGGGAGATGGGACAGCAAGGGGACATGATGAGTGGAGGCCAGGGTAAGGTGGGCTCAGATCAGGCTGGAGCTGGGGCTGTGGGCAGGGTCCAATCTACCCCTACTTCCCTCCCCTTACTCTGTCCTGGTGCCTGGCCACCCAGGGATGGGTCCTGGGAGGGAATACCAGTCCACAGGTGATGCTGGGGAGCAAGGAGCAAGATGGGTGAGGGCACCAGGTGCAGAGAGACAGACATTCAGGCCAGCCTCTGCTACACCAGCAAGCCTCCTGCCAATGGGGCCCTTCTTTGGGGCTCAGGGGCTCTAGTAAGGTTCCTGCTCTGCCACTGTCTGCCTGTATCACAAAGATCTCAGTCCCTTACACTGGATTCCCTCCATCTGTGACATGCTCCCTAATTCTAATGAGGTGAGACAGAATCACAGAATCTCAGAGGTTTAGGCTTAAATTTTCCAGTTTGCAGCCAGACCCATGTTTCCCATAGCATCTGGGCTCTGTATTCTTTCTTGTGACAGCTTCCTCATCGCTTCTCCCAAACCACGTACCCGGGGCTATCACAGGCCCAAAACTAGGTGAGGGGTGCCACTGTGTTTCCACGATACCCTGTGCTTTTCTCACTCAAGCTGTTGCCACAGTTTATTTATCTGTTTGCCTTCCTCAATAGACTTTGAGCTGCTTGGGATAAGAATCATGTGTTGCTCATCTCTGTATCCCTGACACAATGTCCGAATCAGGAGTGGCACTCAAAACTGCGGAGTGAAGGAATGAATGAAGATCTAGCCCTTGACTACCTCTCTTGTCTCATTTCTCACCATCATTCAATAGATGGAAAATATACCGAAGTCACCTTTCCCATCATTAATATCAAGACTTCACAACCGTTTGGGGGATGGACATGCTTGAAGCTCTTACTCAAGGGGGGAGAGGGGCATGGGCAATATAAGTAACCTTAACACTTGTACCCCCATAATTCGCTAAAATTAAAAAAAGGAAAAAAAAGAAAAAGACTTCACAATCATCTTGATAATCTGAGGCACCACCCAGATCCTCCCATTCTCACCTTGCCCAGCACTTGGCCAGACCCACTTGCTATCAAGCCTGCATTGGCCTTCTCTCCTCCCCAGACTTACCAGTGATGTCTGCGTGCATCTGCACAAAGAGGGGATTCTTGCTCAGGCCTCCACACAAAAAAAGAGTACTGATAGAGTGGCCTTCTGCCTCCATGGCCTCTATAATGAAGCGGGTCCCAAACTTAAAGGGAAAAACAGTGGAACGCATTAGTATGGTAGTGAAAGTAAACAATAGGGAACATTTATAAGTGTTTAGTGCTAGACACTGCAATAAGAGCTTCACATACACTATCTCAGAAAGCGGAGACCCAGAGAGATTATGTTTCCCATGATCACACAGTTAATTAAATCGCAGACTGGGAATTCCAACCTGGGCCTGCCAGACTCCAAACCCCTCTTAATTACTACACCATTTGCTTCTATCAGTAGTTATACAACACTGACAAAAACAGTGGACAATGTCAACACAGTTTATATTAACACAGTTCATTCAAACAAATATTTGAGGAGTGTCTACTGTGGCCCGGGCCCTCTATTAGGGAGTGGAAACGGAGTGATTGCAACACTGCTCTGAAATTAACAGAGTCAGTGGTGCCTGGGTCAGGCTTCCTTCAACCATGGGAACTAAAGACCTTTTCCTTAGCAAAGTAAAGGGACCGAAAACTCCAGCAGCAGAAACATGGAAAAAGGACTCTAATTACATACAAAAGGGAAGATACAAGGCTTCTGGCTGGCAAAGGGCTGCTATTGCCATTGTTATCACCTGAAACCAGGTAGTGGTTTTCTCATAATAAGGCTTCTGAGCCAGAGTCCATTCCCATCAGTCCTTAATGACCTGGGATGATGCAGAAATCACATGCTCTGGACGGCCCAGGGCTTCACCATATTTTCAATCCAGCCCTCGTGTCTTAACATCTCCCTAAAATGCATTATTCTCATTCCTGTCTTGCTAAGTTTACCAAACTCAGTAAAAGTCATTATTGTTTGAGAAGAGGATACTATCTCAGAGTCATGGAGGTTAATCTTAACATATAATTCTTTAGCTTTAGGTAGAATATTCAGATAGCTGAAAATTATAATTTATTTCAAAGTTCAAAAAACTATTAATAGAAGTTCAAAAATCGTAATTTGCTTGTGGTAAGGATTAAAAACAAAATGATGAACTGTGACATGGCCTTACGGAGGCAGCCACATGGTGCGGTTTGAGAAACATGAGGAATGGATGGAGAGGCTGGGAATGTTTGGAGTTGGAGCAAACTCTGGGAAGTGGGGGAAGCTCCTAGGTATGGAGAGGGAGCATTAGTATGGTAGCAAAAGTAAAAGGCAGGGAACATTTACTAAGTGTTTTGGGAGTGAACTGCTACAGTGGAGGGAGGAGAAGGTCAGAAGAAATCTGGGAGGCCCAAATGTCTCCAGAGATGGCATGATCACCAAGAAGAAGAAGAAGGTATATCTTGGAGTGGAGAGAAGATACAAGCCAATATCACAGTTTTTAGAGAAAGTGTGACTGTACTGTTGGGGTTGGTACCCAAGTATGCAGAGAGGGAGAAGAGGTAGTTCAGTTTGAGGGCAAGAAAGAACTGAAGTTTGGCCACAGTAAGGAATAAGGTTCAGAAAGTCAGGAGGATGTTGCCCTGATCTCTGGTCCCAGGTGGGCAGGAACGCAGGGCAAGTGAAGCCTCCTCTGAGGAGGCTGTCTGGAGAGCTGTCTTCCCAGGGAGTGGGGGTGGGAGTGGTCAGAGGGTGATCTGGGGACCATAGGACATGAAATATCAATTGCTCTGGAGTAAATGATGAAAAACAGCAGCAGCTCAGAAGTAAAAGGCAGCAGTTCTAGCCCAGAGGTCTTTAGGGTTTGTTGAAGCTATTCACGAATCTGATAAAAATATGGATTAGGTAAAACTTGGTCTGCCAAAGATAGTCCACAGATGTAGCGTGTTAAAAAAATTAAAACATGTTGTACCATATAAGGCCAGATCCTGCTTGCTGACTATGGCTGATTATCTCCAGATGTTCTTGTTTAAGCTTTTTGGGGGGTCATGAACCCCCTTGAGAATATGATAAAACATACTGACCTCCCCAGAAAAAAAGTCACATACTCAATAGTATTATAGATTATTTTAGGAAGTCTACAGATGCCCTTAAGTTCAACATGGATCATTTGATGCTGGTGGATTCTAGGCAACCCTAGTCTACTCTAGGGGTATGAATCTGTCACAGCTAAAACATGAATTTTGAATTCAAAATACCTATGTTGGCATTCAGGCACTTCACAGATTTCTTGTGCCTAACCTTTCTATGACTCAATTCTCATTTTTTGAGTGGGAATAATAACACCATTTTCATTCAGTTAAAAATTCTATGGATTGTCAGAAATGTTACCACGCAAAAAAATTAAAAATTTCATCTTAGACTTGATAAAATACAGTAATACCTGCCTCGCAAGGTTGCTGCTGTAGGCAGCATATGTAAAACTTGTAGAAGAAAGTTCAACCTATGGAAGGTGCTTACAAATGAGAGCTATTCTGGTCATCAGCTACATGCTAGGCACCCTGCTGTGCACGTTAATGGCATTTCCAATCCCAGGGCAACTGAGAAAACTGCCTGTTGTTGTCCCCACTTAGGAGATAGGTAATTTGAGGAAGGCAATACAGTCTGTAGGGGAGGAGGGAAGGTAGCTGCCTCCTAGTCTGTATGGAGATGCCATGCAAAACCAATATTTCTGATATTTCTAAAACCAGGGACCTACGACCATGTGATTAGCAGTCTTGACACAAGGGTAATACCAAGCACAGTTCCTGGGAAAAGGAAAGAAATGATCTGAATAAGAGGCACTCCTTTGAGAGGGGCTGTGACAGCCTGTCTCTCCCCTGTGTGGCATTGTAGGATGGAATTTCCCACTTGGCCAGCGGTTTGTCACACGGTGTTCCCTTTCGGTATCCCAGACTCCACTCTGTACAATGCTCCACCCTACTGAAATGTCCCACCAAAGGGCTTTGTACAAAAATGATTTTGTGCTCACCTTTCTGGAAAAAATGTTTTCACAGAGAAATTTAAATTAAAATTAGGCTATTCCACTGGGAATGTACAGAACCAAAATGCAAATCAAGAGACTTCAAATGCAAATAGTACTTTTTAAGGGTCTGTTCTGCAAAGAAAACTATAGATGTACAGGCTATGGATAAACTGGGAGGTTGACAGGTCTTTCAATTAAGCACGATAAAGAAAGAATTTTACTTCATGGCGGGTTTCCGCACAGTCTCAAGTTAACTTCATTACAATCTCGCCTTAATTTCATTCCATCCTTACAAAATACCAACCATAGATATTACTACAGAGAGAAAGGAATTTGTTTAACTTTAACTCACCACCAACAAATAGATGCTAGGGCAATATTCAGGGCCAATGAAACAAAAAAATTTTTTTCCAAGTTGAACATTATGGAAAAATATCTGCTATCAGAATGCCTTATTTAAATGCACATTTTTGCCTAAAAGATCAGCACGTCTGGATGCTTTTGCAAAACAGACTGAACCCCTCACCGTTCAACTGACACCACAATAAAGCTTCATCGAAAAATCTCTGCCTTAAAACGCTTTTCCTTTGTGGTATTATAAAGGTCATTAAGACAATGGACAGAATAAATATGATAGCTTTTAATACATGTACAGCCCATTAAATACAAGATTGATTTTCCAAGTGTGTGGTACTTGGGAAAATGTAGCTGGCTCCCCCTCCTCCTCTGCCTGCATTAAGTTTAACCTCATTTATACATTCCTGGACTTCTGTTCAGTATTCTTACCAGGAATGGCACCCCTGTGAAACAATCCCAGGCCAAATTAATGATGTTTCCTAACATGTGTTAAGTAAAAAACCTGTTCTTGGAAATGCCTAAAAGCTTGTTTTATCCATGCAGCTTTTACAAACAGATCAAAGAAAAATGCAGCATGGAAAAGCAGAAGGAGCAGGAGCCTGGGAGTGAGAGGGATAGAGGTTCAAATTCCAACTACCATGCACTAGTTGTCTGACCTTGGCAAACGGTCTTCGCCCATCTGTAAAATGAGAACAAACCCATCTGCTTACTGGGTTACCATTCTAAGCTACAGGTAGGTAAGGCACTTTGGTGCCTGGTACAAAGTCAGTGATTGCTGAAAGGTGACAGTCATTACCATCATATGATGGCAGCCCTTGGCCAATCTTGGTTGGCCTTGTCCTTCATGTCCTCTTAGCATGTACTCAGAAGGGAGAGAGCATCACACAGCTCTGATTATCCAGGATTATTCATTTCAATATCAGTGATTCATTCCATTGTAGGACTTTTCATAGAAGAAACCAAATCAGAAAGTAAAAGTTCCTCAATACAGTCATGTGTCGCTTAATGATTCTGTGAAATGTATCATTAGACGATTATGTCAAACATCATGGAGTACACATTCACAAACCTAGATGGTACAGCCTACCACACACCTAGGCTATATGATACCGTATGACCCATTGCTCCAAGGCTAGAAGCCTGTACAGCATGTTGCTGTGCTGAATACTGTAGGCAATTGTAACACAATGGTGAGCATTTATGTATCTGAACATATCTAAAAATAGAAAGGTACAGTAAAAATACAGTTTTATAATTTCATGGGACCATGGTCGGACATGCAGCCCCTTGTTGACCAAATGTCATTATGCTATGCATGACTGTACTTTATACATCTCATTTTATTTTAGAAAGTTGGGTTCAAATCTCAGCTCTGCCATGTACTAGCTATATGACCCTGAGCAAGTTACCACAAGGAAGTTTAGGTCTCTAATATGTGAAATGAAGATTAAACTATCTATCTCATAAGGTTAAATTAGATAATGTGTATAAAATATTTAGCACAGTGCCTGGTACATAATAAATACCCCCAAACTCTATTATTTATTATTACTACCACCACCATAATCATTTTATTATCCATAAAACAGAGTAACTGAATAATTGTCTTTACTACTGATACATACTTTTGTTTTCTGTTTTCATCTTACTATTAATTGCTTCCATTTTGACAGATGTCGGAATTGTGTGTTTTTGACCACATTTCCATGCATAAAGTTGTCTGATTGACTTCACTGAACTGGCCAAGCTATTGAGTCCATAACAATGCTGCTTCAGGAAGATATTGGCAAACTAATCTATAATCTAAAAGGATTATTGAATCAAGTTGGCCAATTCCATACTCACATGCAGTTGCAATAAAGAAGGGATATTTCTTTAGTATTATGAGCATTATTATTATTTGGGAAATTTCATTCTCTATTATAAATACATAGCACCTGGATGATTCTGAGCATTAAAAAAGCACTTTCATTGATGAAATGAATAAATATGCATATAGTTGTTCTATTACTTACAGTAATGTGGTTATTCAAACAGTTGTAATGGACAAATGAAATAACTGAATACTATCTATGTACGTATAGCATTAATAGAAAAAATTTTGTTTAATAGGTGCCACTGAAAAATAAATGTTGAATCAAAATTTAGGGAACTGATTTTTCTTTTCTGTTGGTTTCCATTCTCTTTCCAGAGATGGCTAAGCCTCCTGCATTAATTGTTATTTGGGGGTACCTACCTGCTTTGAGATCCTGAAAGCCATGACCCACTCTCCCGCTTTGTAACATGCACACATGTACAACCTTTTGTATGTGATTTCAAGGTTTAGAATCCTTTTGAAGCCTACCCGTAGATCACCTCTACATAAGAAGAATGATTCCTTAGACAACGTTTGAGCTTTTAGGATTTTGTTTCTATTTTTGATTTATCTTTAATTTAGACTCTCCTAACATTTTAGAATTAAATTCTCCTCTTCCTCCCTAACCATCCTAACCCCTCACTTAAGCAGTCAATTATCTAAAAACACACACTTTCATGTTGTAAGGAAATTCACTAAAGGAATCCTATAATGTATCCTTTTGCAAAAGAATAATTATCATATGTTTTATAAATCTGGACATTCTTAACACCATTTTTTCCTAATGTAAGCATACATGGGCATCTGCTTGCTTACTATTATTTAATTAAATTCAGAAGACAAATTACATAAATGACAAGTATAATATTCAAAGACTTTAACTCCTTTCCACTTTCAGTTATGTGAGGTTATTAGTTAAAGCAGGTAAGGCTCTTCATCGACATTCTAGACATTCAAGCATCTCCTTTTTAATTAAGAACCTCTGTCATAAAAGCATATTATGTGTCTTGGGGAACAAGTGGCACAGAGCATATTGACAGCCCTAAGTCTCTTTAAAAATGTCATTACAGTGTCTTACAGCAATGGCTTGAACTGTGGCCAGGTAGAGAATAGCAAGATCGTCGAGGTCCTGAGACAGTTTCAATCCAGTGACCTGGAGGGATGGAGAAAAAAAAACGAGAAGGAGATGGTCAAAAGGAGCTGCCACGGATAGAGATAGTTCCCATGAAACTCGTTCAGATGTGTTTTCTCGTTGAAACAAGTTCATATGCAAATCCCCTTTTTGTGAGCTGAACGTGAAATGCCTACTAAATTGTTTAATCTCCAGACTTGGGAAAAACTATCCCTTCCTCCCCAAAAGAAAAATGCCTTGTCCTTAAACAAAAACAAAATAAAATAAATACCATAGGAAGACTGTGTTTGATATTTCTTAGCATGGAATTAAATATCTTTATTTTTTTTAAAATGCTCTTTTTTTATAAATACCTATTTTCTGTGGCTTACAAGAAATCAACATGTAACAGGGACATTCTAGTACAAGATGATCTGATTCTGAGTCCTGCTACTATCAAAATTCAGTGTAACGGCACCTAAAGGGTATTCAGGGTAAAGTATTATGTCTCCTATAAATATTATACCTACAGGGGGATAATTTAGAATCTGTGGTTTGCAAGGAATCTCATTAAAGTCAATCGGAATCACATGCTTATATGGAATATGTCAGTCTCTGAGAGATTCCAGAACAGAACAGCATGCTGGACTGGAATGCCTTCAAGGCTTGTTCACAGCCCCACCTCCATGTATCTCATTCATCAAGGTATTGTCTCAGGACATTTCTAGAAGGTGAAAGATGCTGGTTTCTCCAAGCCTAGCTTGAAGATTGTGGGCATCAATACTGTAGCTCACTTAAGACTCACATTATAAAATTAATTCACATAACATGCATTTACCCAGCTCCTAAGATGTGCACGGTTCCGAGCTCAGCCAGGTGTGGGCATGCTGTCTGCATCAAAACACGGGAGCTGAGTGGTCTACCGAGGTCCTTTCCTTCACCTCCAGCCCCATTTAATTATTCTCTCCAGATTCCGCCCCCAACTAGGATTGGCATATTGCAGGGCACAGACACCATTCAGTGGCCCAAATCAGAAACCTGGGGGCCCCTCTTTCTTGAATCCTCCCTCCCTACCCAGACGTAATCAATCCCTAAGTCTTGTGTATTTGATCTCCCAAACTTTTCCCAATGTATCTTCTATTCTTCCTCCTCATGGTTATTCACTTTCTTAATTCAGGCCACTGTTATACCCTTCCTAATTGCTGAGAAAACCCCTGAGCAAATCTCTCTGTCTCTAATTGTGCTCCTCTCTGCAATGGAGCCAGACTGACTGTTCTCAAGTGCAAATCTGGTCCTGTCACTCCCTGTTACAGCTTCTCCCCTGGCCTCCTTTCACAGTGGGAATGCCTTCACCGCCTCCTGCACCTCTCCTGGCTGGCCTTCACTGGCTCCCCGGCCTCTGCTCTTATCCTTCCTCACTCAGCGTCCCCTGCTCTGGCTTCCGAATGACTCACCTACCTGTGTGAATATGGGATGCTTCAATTCAGCAGAGCTGCCTGCTGTTAGTTTTTCTTGGCAAATAACAGGGCAATCAGATGAGAACTATGGCTTTGAATTTAACACACAGGAAGATATAAAATTTGAATAAGAGACCAGAGAGGAACTCTGGGGATGCATCACCCCAAGCCAGTAGCTGTGAAAGAACATCCCTCAGGAAGTTCCCCAGAAAGCTAGACAGAGGGGAAGAATGCCGGAAGTAGGAGAGAACGTGAACAATGCTGATGCTACAGAACTGCATTTCACAGGTGAGGAAATAACTTCCTAAGGGAACACAGAAAATGCAAACCTGAACCTGGGTATTCTGGCAGACTTGTTCTTATTCACTGAAGTATCTCAGATGCCTAGCGCTGTGCCTGGTACAGAGTAGGCGCTAAGTTAATACTGCTGAATGTGTGGACTAGTGACAATTCAATGTTCCTTTTCTCCTTTTGGACACGACTCTCTTTCCCAACGTCCTATTCTTCTTTGTAGAATTCTACAATACTTACTAACTCGGTTCCTCACTCATTCACAGAGGAGGGGACACTTGTACCATGCCCCGAAGAAAAGAGCACTGGAAGAACACTTTTAGACCCTCACAGCATGCTCTCACACTTACCCTTCCTCATCAGAGGAAATGGGGTCCCTGTGGCTCATACAGCCTTTGTGTGAATCAGAAAAAGGCATCCCCATCTGAGAGAATGAATTATAAAAAGGTGCAGAGTAAACAGGATTTCAGCCCAGTCATAAGCCTGTGGGAACCGCCTGAGCCATGGCAGGCAGTGGTCCCGAGGTGGTGAGGATCACTAGTCACCTTGCTTTCTCTCTCCCTCCTGCGCCAGCCTCTGCTGCTGGTCTATCCAGGAAGCTGACGGGCCATGTGCCCCTCCAGAGCCAGTCCAGGAGGCCGTCTCCCTCTGCCTTCACTGGGAAGTGGTCAGGCCATGGGCCACAGATGGATCCTGAAAACCCAATTTGGATAATTTGTGATGGGGGCAGGGGTAAAATTTGGCTTTGTATATAAGATGCATTCCCTTCTCACTATTTATTAGGAACCCCAGTGCACTGTACAATGATACTGATAACGGTGCTGCTATCTTTCTGGATTAGTAAGAATCCGTAAGAGAGAAGGGGTGTGGCATAGCTGAAATTAACTGCCTTAATCCCCAGCAGATAGCCACAACAACTTCTGAAAAGCAATGATATTCAAGCAAAAAGATAGCATGGACTGTTCTCTAAATTTCTAGTGCCTCCAGAGCTCAGAAATCATAGAGAAGAAAAGGGAAGATAATTTTTTTTTTCCAGAAACTGAGAATGAGATCATCAATGTAATTGAGCACTAAATTTAACTCTTGAGCATGCTACCAGCTATAGCAAAAAGGGACACAGTATGGGTGATATAGCTTTTCTTTTTCGGATACAGAGAACAAACACAGCCATCCTTGAAAGGAAGAAATTCTAGAAGGGATTTATTACATGGATCATGATGGGGAAGATACTCAGTATCAAAAGGAAAACAGCAAACATAGTTCTCCTGTGGCCATGTCCAATATCTCCTCACCACTAACCCCGGAGCCATGGTGTTGAAATGTGACTTAGTGAAGATATTTCTCTCCGAGTGCAAAGATACTATGGTGGTCAGGGGTCCCTTGCTTCCTTGACATCTCACTTGATATGTAGATGGAGATGACAGAAAGGCAGATGATCATTAAGTCCATCTGATTTTCTCCCAAATACCATAGACCTCAGTGCAGCCAGCCCATGATGGAACTTTCTAAGGGGTGCCTGCCCTGTGGACTGCTGGGGACCCTGAACAGGACCCTGGGGGAGCTGTCTTGGAAGGGAGGTGGTGGCAGTACCTGGACAGTGCCAGGGATATGTCCTGGGGGAGGCACAGCTTCGCAATGGCTAAGAAGGCTGGGATAGGCCAGAGGAGCCAATAGCCCAGCTGAAGGCTGAATGGTTCCATCAATAAGAGGAAGTGGGGAGGAAGTGGAAGTGGAAGGAGTGTGTTTATAGATGTACCTATGCCTATTTTGAATGTTTGGGCAAGACAGTCAAATATGTGGGGAAGGCCCATGGGAGAGTTGCAGTGGTAAGCACATTTTATTTATTTTGTTATTGTGTAATAAGTGAGAAGAACTGTAAGAGAAAGCATTTATAATTAATATTTAGAGATGTGTGAAAGCTGTATACGATGGCCAAAAAAAAAAAAAAAGATGCAAACAACTGCAAAATGCATAATTGCAACATCCTAGATTATAGATATAAAATGTTTACGTAAATATTGAGATTTTTGAGTTTAGAAGAGAAGTGCATATAAATGGAAAGAACAAACTTTAGAGTAGGACACCTGGGTTTAAATGTTGACATTTCCTCTGACTGCATGGCAGTATATGAGTTTTGTAATGTCTCTGAGCTTCAATTTTTTCATGTGCAAAATAGGAATGATAATATATACCTTAAAGTATTATTGTGGAGAGTTAAATGAGATATCACTTTTCAGTAAGCTGTACTGAGTCTACAAGAACTAGATAACTCCTCTAGCTCTTTCGTTGCTAACTAGGTACACAAAGGTGGCACTTAATAAGTGTTCAGTTTATTTCCCTTTCTCTTAATAAATGTCCATTCTCTTTCTCTTGAATTTCATGAAACGCCCAATCTCATTCATATACTGAAATACAGCCACAAAGTAGCTCCTTCATCATGCTATGGGTGCCATCAGGGTCTTAACAAGGGGCACTGAAGCCGAGTGGCCGTCCAGTGTGGCCGTCCAGGATGGAAGTTGATCATCGGCACTGGGATGATAAGGTTAAAGGTACAGACATGCAGGGGTGTGGAGAGGCAAAGTGCCTTTGATGACTGAGTGCCCAGGCTTAGCACAGTAGGGGGTCCACTTGCAAGGACTCCTTGGGGAAGACTTAGTTCTTATCAACCTACGCACTTCCATTCACTATGTAGAAAGGAGAGACAGCTACCAACTCTTCACCCTGGACTTCAGCTTAAATCTTGCTGCCACCAACTAGCTGTCCAAACTTAGACATATTTTAACTCTTTCCTGAGATCCTCGTTGAGTGCAGATGTCCTGGGATTCTACTCTAGATTTACTGAACCTTTGGTGTAGGCCCAATAATCTGCATTTTATCAAGGTCCTAATGTACAACAAATTTGGGAATGATTGCCCAAAACCTTGGTATTATGAATTATAAGTGCATAGGCCCTAAATTTGTTGAGATTATTAACAAATGTATTAGTAATTAGTTAATTTTTTTCCTTCCCAGTTGTTAAATGAATTGATTATATATGTCAGTAAGGAAAAAAAAGGGCTTAGGAATAACTTCCCAAGGGGTCTCTAAAGATTATAAAAGACAGGAAAATGGGATTCCCAAGCCCTAAGATTTTCTAGGGTCATCAGAGCTTAATGAAGGTATCCAAGGCTCAGGGGAATTAGCTGAAAGCTTTCCAGAACACAATGGAGCAGCAAAAGTGCTGTATGTTCAGTCAATAATGAAGATGGAACTCACGGACAAGGTAATGAGGAAGATCAGAGATTTATAGGAAAC